CAAGCAGCTATTGCCAAGAGGTCTGAGACATGATGGGTGGATCTGTCATTTTTACTTTCTCCTGCATTTGAAATTTGGAAAATTATTATAAAAACTGAAGTGAAATAAAATTCTCACCTGTACCAACCACATTCAATAGCTATGCCTATTCCTGTATAGAGAGGACTATAACATACCATGGGATGGACGAACAAGTGGTGTTTGAGACCTTCAGGCTTCTCTGAGCATCGCCTGATTGCTCATCTCATGCCCCATTCCCGTTTATATAGGTATTTGTGATGGTGCTCAATCTTCATGAACAGAAAACTTGTGAAAATAAAGCAACACACAAATGGGGGATTTGTGCAAGCCTCCATCAATGTGTGCAAATGTCCTAATTTGCACAACATTCCTCCATGACTGATTCAGTCCACTTTGGGGAATCTTCTTTCAGAGCAGTCTTCCCCAACAGTGTGGTCATCAGTTGTTTTGAATTACATCTCCCAGCATTTCTGATGTAAAGGGTCTGGTGGGAGTGGGTCTGGTGGGAGTTGAAGTCCAAAACGCCTGAAGAGAGCTGGGTTTGGATGGATGCCTTAAAGGGGGGTCTGTAATCAGTGTCTCATGTAGATCGAGACACTCCTTACTGCCTGGTGTTACTACAAAGCATGCAATCCAGGTGATTCAAAATGAAGCTGATGGGAAACTTTCCGGTAGCTCGTGGAATAGGATAGCCATATTGTAAATAAATCAGATTTAAACTCTAAGGTATGTGAAGAAACAGCCGCAGCAACAAAATGTGGACCAGGTTAAACAAAATAAGCTTTAGGTGCAATCCTTACGCATGGTTTTATTTACACACACATACACGTGTCTGTCTGTCTGTCTGTCTGTCTGTCTGTCTGTCTGTCTGAAACCCCAGTAGGTACCATGTAGGTCTTTTCCCCCATCTAAACATACATAGGATTGCAGCCTTAGTTGATTGAACACATTGGTTCCTTTCTAGTTTAAGTCACAGACAAGTTATTCATGTATAATAATTAATTGCCCTAGATACAGATGTTGTTCTTCATTAGCATCAAAAGGACAAAATAGCAGGCTCAAGATAGGGTCATTCCACCAGCTTGCAATAACTGGGCTTTTCAGGGGCCGACCCTTTCATTAGACAAAGTGGGGTAGCTGCCTCAGGCGGCAGATGCTGGCAGGCAGCAGGAGTGAGCTGTTGGAGCTGTGCATGCCATGCATGCTTCCCTTCATCTCCAAAACTAGCATTCTGCCCTCAAGTGATAACAGGGTCCTGTCACTCAGTACTGATGCAAATTTCAGCTGCCAATCTGTTTGACTTTTCTCCCTGGAAGAAAAGTTCTTTACTTTGGCTAGCCATATGTCTTGGGCTGACCTTAGCCCATTTAATTTTTAATTTCAAATACTATTTTATTGGCATGCTTTCATTTATTTTTAATTTGCTGCTTATCCAAGCCAACAAACAGTACAGCTTTCCTTGGCCTAAGTAGTTCTGCAGCCAATGCTCAGGCCATTAATTTGTTGAGATTGGACTAAGGGTGGATTAAAGGTGGAAATGCAATTTTTCATTGGTGAATATTTCACTGCTCCACTATCACTCTTGGGTCCTGAAATGGTGCCTGTAATTTTTATATTCTGAATGACTGAGAATAATCTTAGCAAAATAATTGCTTGGTATTAAAGAGAGAATCAGTATACTGTATACTGATTGTAGTTTATTTCGCCAAGATAAACTCCGAACTGAGTCAAGGTAGGTTAACTTGACAAATTCAATTCAGCTACATTGCAGTCACAATTATTCATATGGTATGAATCTGAAATAGCTACATAAAAATCAGCAAAACTCTATTCACTTGCTCCATAGAATAGTAGAACTGAAAGAGGCCAATAAGGCCGTTAGATCCAGCCTGCTGCTCAATGCACAACTCCAAAGTCAAGCATCCCTGCCAGATGGCCAGCAGCATCTTAAATGCCTCCAGTGTGGGAGAGCCTCCTTAGGTCATGGCTCCCTCAGTTGCTTTCATCGCCCACCCCTGCCACCTCTCTCTCTCTCTCTCTCTCTCTCTCTCTCTCTCTCTCTCTCGGCCCAGAAAACAGGGGTCTGGTTGCTTTTCTTCCTGTTTCCAGCTGTGGCACTGTGTGACAATCCCTGTTGGAACATATTCGTATTATTCTTCCTGCAGAAATAAGCCTGGAGCAATTGGGCTACTTATATTCATTGTTGTGTCATATTGTGCCTTGCAACACATTGTTAATGATCAATAGAGCCAGAGCAGCTAACAGGATCTTATTCTCTACAGTAGCCATGACACAGGTACACTTTTGCTTCTTATGTCATCCCATTTTGCCTCTGCACAATGCAGCCAGGCTTAAAATAGATAAATAAATGCTAAACCTGCCTG